ATCTAGTTATTCTCACCTTTGCTAACACTCTACTGAAGCCTCTGCAAAATACATGGCCCATCAGGTATGGGCAAGCATGTGACCTCCTCTGTGGGCCTGAGCAGCCTATCAGCATGTCCAAACACAATAATGTGAGGAGGGCAAGGTCATCAAATCATCATCATACATGAAGCTTACACAAAATCTGACTACCAGCTCCAGAGGAATGGAGTGATATGGAAGGGCAGGGATGGTGGGTTTAGGTGCAATGGGGCTTCAAAGTTACACCATGCAACACGTGTTCATTTTTTTCGAGATCATAAAGAAAACCTGTCATACTGGTGGATGCTGCCATTGCTGACCTCCCTGAAAATTTTTTGCTGTCCGGCAGTCATGTTGATCCTCAATTTGTAATACTTTGAGTCGCAGCCCTGTAAAATTATCATCATATTTACTTCAATTGCTGCATAACTGTAGTGTACAGGGTTATCAAATCACAAAGGACCAAATAATTAGGACGGCAGTTGAGTAACTGGCATTTACAGGAAGAGAACATAACTGGTAAACGTGTGTCTTTCTTATGGCAGGCTTCCCTAAAAGCAGGGATCTATTACCCACTTGTAATATATGGGCCATGTCAGCACAATAGCCATACAATAAGGCACCAGCTTTTTTGGGGGGCTACAGGAATTTGTTCAGCCCTAGCAATGAAATTCCATCTCTAATGCACTAGACTAGCATGACACGAAACTCAGGAGTTAAATCTTAAAAATGCATTCAAGTACTTTAACTCTTAACAAAAATGTATCTTATTTGTGTATTTGTAAATGTTGAAAAAACATTTGGGTGGCTCTTGAATTCCTATTATGTAATTACTGCCGCCAACAAGTTTGTGTTACTTGAAATGAACCCATATCCACAAATCAGTCAGCGAGATTGCCCATAGCAAAGCTACGTAGATCATGTCAAGTCTTTCCTACCCTCCATTTGTGTCTCAGTAGATGAAAAGATAGCTTATTTTTATTTTTACTTCCTCTCTTTTGCCATAGTCTTTAGTAGGGCACCATAGACACAATATAGATGTGTTCCATGTTAGGTTAAAGTGCAATTTCTATTTTAATCCCCAATCGCCTGTTAAAGTGACATTAAACTCCAGAATTAAATCTTAAAATTGCACCCTAGTTAACAAAAATTTATCTTATTTGTGTGTCACTCGGCTGTAGATCCTCAAATCATCTCTGAATTGGTGCCAACACTGCCCTTCCTTCTGGAGGGTGGCTACTTTTATTCCTCATGGCCCGTGTGTTGTAAAGTAGTCACCGCACCAAGCTAGTTCCCGGGATGGACTACAATCTACCGTTTAGTTAGCGAATTTGTATTGGGATTGTAGTCCATCACAGGAGTGAGCTTGGAGCTGTGACTACTTTACAACACACACAGGGACCGTGGGGAACAAAGGTAGCCCCCCTCCAGAAAGGACAGTGTCAGATCTACAGCCGAGTGATACACACAAGATACATTTTTGTTAAAAGTTAAAAAGGTACATGAATGCAATTTTAAGATTTAACTCCTGAGTTTGTCACTTTGAAAAGTAAAAACACTTGCTTGACTGCAACAGGATCACTGCTGACACGGCTGGACAACTTCTGGGAACTGAGTAACCAATGTGCTGCCTTTTTCACCTAAATCTTGCCACCTTTTTATAAAAAGATACGTAGTCAAGAGCGTTTAGCAATGTCCTGTACCAAGACCCCACAGCTAATTTCATATTACATTGTAATATCTATCCCTCACGGGCAGGGCCCTTCTTACCACATTGTCTTGAATTGTCATGTCTGCCTTATATTGTAAAGCGCTGCGCAAACTGTTGGCGCTATATAAATCCTGTATAATAAATCCTGTATAATAATTAGGGATGCATATTGGCCGAAAATTGCACTTTTGGCATAATGCTGAAAGTGCCATTTTCTGGCAGATACAGAGGTGTATCCGTGTATTCTCTCCTCGTTGGGCGCTGCTGTGACCCAGCGGGGAGGAGAGAAACTGAGTCGGCCAAGCGCTGCGTGCGGCTGGCGTCTCTCCTCCCACACCGCTTAGCCTCCTATCACAGATTGGCAGAGCAGTGTGTGCATGGAGACAGCCAGCGCTGTCACAGGAGGCTTGAGCTTTCCTCCCCGCACTGCTCGCTCAGCCTCCTGTGACAGCTGTCAGGATGGAGAGCGGGTACGAGCAGTCAGTGATCAGTGATCGCCGAGGGTTTGGTTACTATATCCCCAATTATGAATGAATGGGAAGAGATATACATCCCCTCCTGTACATTCATGATTGTGGTTATAGTAAAACATACTCTGTCCTCATGTTATGAATTAACAGGAGCACTCAGTATAGAGGATTCCTGTTCATTGATAACCGGGGCTGCAGAAAAAGAGATTGAGGACTTTGTGTCCTCAATCTCTATTTATAAAAAAAATATTTACATTTTTATTTTTAAAATGTAAATAAAAAACATTTTCGGTTTCGGCCTGACACTTTTTTATTTCGGTTTCGTTTTTAAATTTCCATTTTGGTGCACCTCTAATAAGAATAATAATATCTGAACACGGACACACACAGACTCTGTGACTTCACCCAATTGGTAAAATTACAATATGTCCCAACGCTTCTTTCAAGCAAGAATCACAAGGGATATAAATCTTGATACATTCCGAGGCTGTCTGCATTTTGACCACACATTGTTGTAAACTGATGCGTCAACTCTACCTATAAATACAAGGCAATGAAAACTACTACTCACTACACAAATACACATAGCAAGCCACGGAATTCCAATGGAATGTTGTCGGCCTTCTGCATTAATAAAATTAAGCTTACATACGCAGCCTAGCATAATCTCCTTAAAGTAAAACAGCACCCCCGGGTGTCATGATTACAACACAAAGGCAGAGAAGCAGCTTTGCCAGTTTTTAAGATGGATGGTAAAAGTTTGTAAATGTCATTGAAACCTCTAGAAAAATTGGGCTACTGAAAATAGTTCACCAAATAACAAGTTAAGCAAACAGATACCATCTACTCTTATTTAAAGGGGAACTATGGGGTTAAGGCTTTTCTCCATAGGGTAACGGGAGGACACAAACTAGCGTCCTCCCGTCACCCTAAGCTCAGTATACCGCGAGCTACAGCTCGCGGTATATTGAGACGCCACAGTATACCACGAGCTACTGCTCGCGTTATACTGAGACGCCGCAGCTGACTCTGCCTATCTAGAGGCAGAGCCAGCTGTACCCGCCCCCTCGATCCGCCAGTCAGCGCTGGCGGATCGGAGCGGGGATGGGGGAATCCAGCCCCTCCCCTGTCACGGCAGAGGGCTGTGACAGGATCGAGATGTGAGCGAACGCTGGTATGTGTTCGCTCACCTCCCGATCTACTGAGCCGACCTGTGACAGTCTCATTGTCACAGGTCGGCTAGAACTATGAAGTGAGTGAAAAACACTCACCTCATAGTTCTCCTTTAAGCAGCGTGTCTGCTGGTAATCCTGCCAAGACCATTAAAAAGACTACTTTGGAAACCTAAAGCTTGACTTTGCAATGGTGATGCCGGTGCTTGAAGCACAATTCCCCACATTTTAGGACCAGCAGTGCCTGTGTCTTTTGTACACACGAGAGCCTTTTGTCTTCTAGCAATGATAGCCGAAGCAAGAGCATTGGAGCAGCTCTTCAACACGCCACCAGCAATAAATACCTTCATCACTAGAATAGTGCTCATTGAGAAAAACTGGGCAGAGGACAATAGAGGTCACCAAAGATTCCAGGAGCTGAATTTCTAAGCTATAAAATTAGGTTTTCCCCACTTACTCCATCCTTACCATCACAGAACAGAAGCTGTGTCCTGTTTGGAACCCCCACTGTTCAACCTTTTTAAAATGAGCATCAAAAAGCTCCGACTGCCAGCACTCAAACTGCTCATATTTCTTTGGCAGCTCTCTGCAACCTAATCCTTTTCAGTGGGTTTCTCAGTCTATACAGTGCCTGCTGAAACCAATGGGTATATAAACTTGGGTTGCAACTCCTGATAAAGAAAGCTAGCAGTAATGCCAAGTTCTGGTAGCTTCAGAGCTAAAGGGGTTTCTTATAAAGTAGACAACTGGGCAGTACAGTGGCACAGCAGTTTGCACTTCTTCCTTGCAGCACTGGGGGGTCCCCGGATCAAATCCCGGTCAGGACACTATCTGCAAGGAGTTTGCATGTTCTCCCTGCGATTGTGTGGGCTTCCTCCGGGTATTCCGATCTCCTCCCACACTCCAAAGACATGCTGGAAGGTTAGTTGGCTCCTGTCTAAATGGGCCCTGTATGTGTGTGCAATAGGGACCTTAAATTGTAAGCTCCTTGAGGGCAGGGACTGTATGTCCACAATGTAAAGCAATGTGTGAATTGTCAGCGCCATACAAATACCTGTAATAAATATAAAAGCTACAAAACTCTGGGCTGGTAATCATCATCCTAACTAGAAAGTCTGTAGCCTAAAAGCAAGAAACCTGCCAATAAATTGAAACTCTCAACCTATACACCAGCCCCAAGCATGTGGATAAGCTTCTAAGACTGAAGTGTCGCATCAAAAGATTGTACAGATGCAAAATGTATTCCTAACATCAAAGAAGAAAAAATTATTACAGCACCAATGCATTTCAGGGTCAGAAAATGCCCCTCCATTAGAGCTTGATATCAGTAGTGTATACTGGACTGAATGTAGTATATGCAGGTTTTGAATCAGCTGTTAGAGGCACAGCATCCATCAGCGGCTGGTATGAGCAGCCTGCGAACCCCCAAAGCACGCTGGCTCTGTAATAACGGGGTTTTTTTTATCTTGTTTTGGTATGAATCTGTATCTGGATGATTCACTTCCATCTTAGACACTCACAGATGCAAACCAAGTAAATACATATGACAAGCAGCAATCAAAACAAGAGACAAAATGCGGAAAGACAACTTAAAGGAGGCACACAATCATATTTTAGGATATATACCTGTGGCAAAGCCGTGTTGAGCTGCCTTTGTAGAGAGTCCCGTTCATGGGTCACTTCCTGTAGCTTGCCTTGATTTATCCCTAGTGTTTCCTGGGTCTCCCGTAGTGTATCCAGCAATCTGTCCCTCTCTTCTAGCATTGAAACCATTAGTTGCTCAAAGTGGGAATCCGAGTCAGTCTGTAAGGGGGAGCCTGATCCATGGCTTCCGTTTCCCCCCGAAGGCATCTCAGCCTCGCTGATGGTTGGCATCACTTCGCACATCATCTTTAAAAGAAGACGACTGCATTAGTTTACAGCGTAGCACCAAATCATACACCAAACATTTAGGACGCTAAAAGACCAAAACACAAGTGTCATTCTTTATAATCTCTTTAAATATAGCACCTCAATGTATTGTTCAGCGTTTATTAGCAGACTGATAGGTACCATTCACACCACCAACAGCCCAGCCCCACAAAGAGGCATTGTGTGCTAATTACAGGTACACAATGAAGGCCTGCATCAATGGTTGCCATCCAATGTGAAGACATATATTTGGATCTTGTGTTAAAGAAGGACATTGTTTAAAAATGACAAGCTTGAATTTACTGAAAGTAACCAATTACCACTTTGAAAAGTAGAGCTATTAATACCATTTCCACATCTCATGAATCATCAGGGCATGTGTCTGCATTCACAAATCTTAATATACGGATTTTAAAAGGGAACCCTTTCCTTGCCACAAATTAAAATTAGGCCATTCAGAGCTCCGTGCCGTTGGCCTAAAGCCTAGTCAAAGAGCACATGGCATCTGGCTGTTTCACATCATTAGAGACTGTGAAAAGACTACATTTTCAGTTAAATAGACCCAGACCTGCAGTTGGAAAACATTTTCACGTTCTACACTTGCCTTTCTCAAACAGAGTTCTGTGGAATCCTGGGGTTACTCATTTGGTTGGGTGTTCCTTGAACAATGAGAAAACTTCTGCTTCTCAGATTAAGTACTCACTGACACCAATGGGAAATGCCTTAAAAATGCATCTTTCAAGCGTTGCACAAAGTTTCCCATTGAAGTCTATGGGACCAAAAAACACTGTAATCCGCCAAAAAGTAGCTCATGTACTTTTCCCAGCGACAGGCGTTTTTCTGCTTGTGACAAAAAGCTCAGGTGTGAACAGGGGGCATAGAAATGAATGGGATTCCACTCAGCCAACAGTGTAGATTTGTTCAAGAAACGTTAGTACAATTTCTTGAGGGACCGTAATATCCAGGGATACCAGTATCCCTAAGAATGAGATGATGCGTGGACCTATATGGGTTGGACTTGATGGACGTATGTCTTTATTCAACCCCAAATACTATGTAACTATGTATTGAGCATTTTGTCATGCTTACCTCTGAGCCACAAAATGCCTAGGTGTGAACGGAGCGCAATGGGACCCCAGATAGCAATAAAAACAGAACCCTTACAAAAAAGATTTGGCTTGACATACAATATACAGTGGAACTCCAGGAAGTACATTTCTGCAAACTTAAATCGGTCCAGCTTGGCTCAATGTAAGCATCAACATGCGATATCTGGAGGACCGCTGGGGATGCTAAAAAATCACAGTAGTATTTCTAACTGCAGACAGTGATCTTCTCCTCTGTACACTGAGCACAAGGAGACAGCTACTTGGCCCTGCTGCCTTGTATTTTTTTTTTTTAATGATTACAAGCCATTCCTTGATTGGAGCAAAGGACGTCACAATTTTTATCTCCTCCAATCAGAGAACAAATTGATTTGAAATGGAGTGACCTGAATCTAGGCACAGGATGCCACACCCCTAGAAAGTAGTATATCAAAAAACAGGAAAGTTGGGGTTTTTTGGGCAACCGGCTGACAACTTACAAACCAAACATTGTTTAGAAAATATTATTTTATTTGAAATAATTAAAAGGTAAATAGATTTCATAAAATTGACAACATGATTCCCCTGTAAGCTCACTCCACAATGATTAGGTTGTTCATACAGAGATAACACTCAGAAAATTATAAAGTAAGACATGATTGATAGACATGATAAATAGAACATTCATAAACACAATACATGATTGGTATAAAAAATGGTGTTGGAGGAGCTTGGTTTTCTCAACGTGATGTTTCGCGCTAAATAGCGCTTCTTCAGTAGAAGGAGAGGGAGGTTGTCTATACAATTTAAGAAAGATTTATGGAAAATATAAACATAATTGAACTTCTAGCACAGCCACTTGAACTTGTCTAGTGGTATAGTAAACAGGTGAATATATGTGGATATATCACCTACCCTTGGAGTCATTGTGGAGTGAGTTTACAGGGGAATCATGTTGTCAATTTTATGAAATCTATTTACCTTTTAATTATTTCAAATAAAATAATATTTTCTAAACAATGTTTGGTTTGTAAGTTGTCAGCCGGTTGCCCAAAAAACCCCAACTTTCCTGTTTTTTGATATACTACAATCAGAGAACACATGAGCATTTATAAAAGCTATATGCTGGGCAGATGCTGTTTGCACGGCACTAGCACCCCTAGATGGCTGACCAGTATAGGAAATTCCTATACCCATCAGCACTATCTAAAAGGTGGCCATACACTCTACAACCATCGCAAGACCTTAGTCTTGCGATGGTTGTACAGGGATTTAAAAAAAACGTACGATCTGCCTATGTTGGACAGGCAGATCGCACTCTCGATCATCGCAAGCCCGCCCCCCTGAGGGGCGGGCTTCCGATGACCGCAATGCTGAACGGGCAGTGTGCGCGTGCCCACACCGGCCCGTTCGGCATTTGTCTTCCGAGCACGGTTCTAACCAGCCGAGAATCGTACGATTCCCGGCTGGTTTTCGAACATGCTGGTTCGACAGAAGACTTGCGACCGTACAGTAGAAACGGTCGCACGTCTCCGTTCACACTGCTCGATTATCGTACGAAAAACCGATCGCATACGATTATCGTACGATAATCGTGCAGTGTACGGGCACCTTAAGGGAGCTAGTAGCGTGCAAATAGCATTCACCTGGCGGCACTTTTACACATGAACCCCCTTGTATACCCCAAAAAAAGAAAAAAAAAGGTATACTCTGAATGCCGGCAGTGCCGAGCGAGCAACTTCATGTGCTCAGTGTGCACAGGGGAAGCTGCTGGAGCTCCAGCCAGAGGATCGTGTCTTCAGATGTTCGTCTCCCGGCCAAACATCTGAAATGTGCATGCGCCCGCCCCAAGATCCTTTGCGGCCACCCGAGACTCTTTAGATGTTCGGACGGGAGCGCGCGGCGAAGACACAGGTAATTATTAACCCTTTTAAAAAAAAATTTTTTGCATATATCTCATGCTTGCTAGGAGTAAATATATGCAAAAACACACGAGGGTTTAATAACCCTTTAACTCTGCAAAAAACGTTCTTCCTGGAATGACGCTTTACAGTGTTGCAGCCAAAACATCAGCATGACATTCAGGGAATTAGCATTTTCAAAAGCAGAGCGGCCTATATAATTATCTCCGGACAGGTCTACTTTAACAGCTCTCTACTGCAATAACAGCTATGATGCTAAACATCACAAACCCTGTGACACGTGACTGATATCTGGCACACACACTCACAATAAGACAACCATTATTTGGATAAAATATGCGTGTATAAAACAAGACAGATGTAGAATTTACCAAGCACTAAAGATAAAACAAACCAAACATTAGACAATATATAAGATGCCACTTTGTGCTCGGTACAACCCTCACAGCAAGAAATGTTGATATAAATAGTGTGAACCCACACCATACTGACAGGGTGATGAGCCAAAAATAAAGGCAAGTGTTTGCCATGGCAGCAAAAGGATTATCTTCTATTTCTGAACAATAGTCTTCCACACTGTTATCTAAATCAAACCGAAGCACAAGCAATCAGGCTTTCTGGGTGCCCAAAGATACCCACATCAGCTGTGGCAATGTGCAAAGTGAAACAACTTATCTTTTACCACTCAATCTGCTAAAATAAATAAGTTTCATTGCTCTAGTCTAGGTTGATATGCATTTTAACTACATTATTTAAGCCTATCTCCAGTTTAAAAAAAGAAAAACTGCCTTGCACTGCTCGTTTTTTTGTTTAGGGGACCTGTGTGACACCGTTTTACTTGCCTGATCAGTGCTGGCTCCAAAACCAGCACCGCAGCCTCTTTCCCTCTCATCTCCAGTGGTCGGAGGTCCTCTGGCATCATCAAATCAGATGCAAGGCCCGGAACCCTGCATCAAGCATGAGGATGGTAAGGGACAGTCCACAAGCCAGAGCTAAGGGGAGACCAGGAGAGCACCATGGTAGCAGGGACCAGGTACGTAAAAGTCCTCTTCGCCATACCCCTAGATATAAGGCCTCATTCAGGACTTATCCAGGGAGGGACAGGTGCTGTGTGTAATGGCGTGCAGCAGCCTCTTCTTCCCTTTAGGCCCCATTCACACTGAGCGACATGAAAATCGCGCGACTGAGCGATATTGCGCGACGGGCGATATTGCGCGACTTTTTCCTATTGGGCTGTATGCAATCAGGAGCAATATCGCTCAAAATCGCTCGAAAAAAGGGTCATGTAGGAGCGATAAGCTACCAGCGACGAGCTACAAGCGATATTGAGCGACGAGATGTGAACAGCTACATTGAAATGTATTGGTGAAGCTACATAGAGCGATATCGCTGCAAAAATCGCGTGATCGCTCAATGTGATCGGGGCCTCAGGACCCGTTCACATATAGCGAATTGTCGCGCGATTTCCGCCGCGATATCGCGCATTTTTGCCGCGCGATATCGCGAGAAGTCGCCGGCCAATGTTATTCAATGGAGCTGTCTTAACTCCATGTCGCGCGTCGCTCGTCGCGGTCGCAAGTCGCTTCTACCGGACCCTTTTTTCGGCGGATTTTGCGCGATTTTACTTTTTTTCTATGGAGCCCGACGGGGAAGGTCGCGCTACCGTCGCTGGAACGTCGCCCCGAAAGTCGCGCTATCCCGGCCGTGCGGATCCGCTGCAAAAGGTATGTCGCTATATGTGAACGGGGCCTTAGGTGGGCACAGCTGTACACTGTCATACGCACACCCATGCGGGTCCGGGTGTCCACACTTGGACGCACACTGCGTGCAGACTCATACTACTCATACTCACCCAGCTTCCCAGCCAATCAGGAAGCCGAGGGGCCAGGTTATGACTCGCCCTCCTGGCTTCCGGAATGCCTGGAAAGTCGGCTCCCTGGCCAAATCAGGAAGCCGGGTTAGCATGTAATGA